GATTCAGAGTTTGCAATTAGGATGCAAAGATATAATTTTTAAAGAAACTTTTCAAAGTTAATTCAAAATACAACAAAATTATAGCATTTACTTGTATGAAACTTAAGAATTCATAATTTCTTAGTCTGGAACTATAAAATGCCACAGAAAAACCACAAACTACCTCAAATAAAAATGTTTCCATTGCACAAAGGCTAATTTTCAAAAATCTTAAAACAAAACTTGTATTTTTAAGGGAATCTGGGCGTTTTCTCTTAGGCATAATAATAAATCCAGCTTGCTTACAACATGATAAAAGTTTGAAGTTCAATTATTTCTATAAGAACAAAAATTCAAAAATACAAACAAAGTTCTATTTTCCCAACACTTTTTCTCTCAATTTGCTTTCTCAAATGACAACCGTGATAGCATGGGGATCAAACGGTTCTAGAAGTGCAGCTGGGGGTGGGGAAAGAAGCAATTCAGATCCCCACAGCCAGCTGAGGAAATCCTTGTCCCTCCCAAGCTAAATCACTGTTAATTAGAATTGTTGAGTAAACTAGAAAAGTCTTATTAAAATAATTTAAATAATTGTAGCCCACAGGAAACAAATCTGTTTTCTTCAGAAACTGCTCTAGAAAGGCCGTAAGAATGGAATAAAATAAGCAAGAAATATTTCATTTAAATAAATTATACCTACTTGTTTCGAAACAATGGTTATCTCACAATGTTATGGGTTTGAGTGTTGTTTTTTTTCCTAATTCTCCATAACTTAAAGTCTAACACCCTAAACTATGCTGTAAACACTGGGAAACAGAAAGACTGGGGTTGATTTTAGGAATATTGTACAGCAAAGTTACATCCAGAGATGTTTCTAAAATGTACAATTAAGATAAAGATGAATCCAAAACTTCAGCTACAAAAATCTCAATAGCCAAAACAGAATTCCCTGGCTCTGTACCAAGCCACCTTGCAAACTTAATAATTCTGGCATCTCTGAATCCCACTTATCAAACAGAGACATCCATAAATGTTCAAGGAATTACCTAAACCAGAAAAATATTTAATGAGAAAATTTTTTTTTGACTTTTTAATTTGACCTCAAGATTACAAAAGTTTTAAAGCAAACACTTTCCTTCCCAACTTGCCTATTTTGGAAATGTGTTCAGAGTATTATAAAAAATTGGTTATAGCCGGGCAGTGGTGGCGCACGCCTTTGATCTCAGCACTCGGGAGGCAGAGCCAGGCAGATTTCTGTGAGTTCGAGGCCAGCCTGGGCTACCAAGTGAGTTCCAGGAAAGGCGCAAAGCTACACAGAGAAACCCTGTCTCGAAAAACCAAAAAAAAAAAAAAAAAAAATTGGTTATATTACACCACTACCCATGTGGGCACATTAAAAAGCTATCTGTTGTTTAAAACTGCTTCCTTGTTGAAATGGAAGCCTCTTTATCTGCAGAAAGAGCTTTCTCTGATTCTGATGCCTTTTCATAAATTAAGATGACTATAATATGGTTTTTACATACAAAATAAGTCATTTTCTTCTATTTAAGAGATATTTTACCAACTGTCCTAAAATTGTGTTATAACCTAGAATTTCTACCTTTGTCCCACAACCCCAGAGGACAAGGGAGATGAGAAATCAAGAAATATTGATATATTTTGGTATAGTTTTGAAAATCTGCATTTTTTTCATTAGCTTCCCTTCTAACACCTTTCATGTACTTGTACAAGCATATAACTTCTGCTACAAAATGTAGAATGAATTTCATATTAGTAAGCATGCTAGCCTCATACTCTGCAAGAATGAGGTGTTTTCAAGCATTTGGTGAAAGATACATTGGAAATGTGGTTATTTAACACCTCAGATTTCTCCTTACGGAAACTAGAACATTCTCAGTTGATTCAGAATTAAGTTTTCAAGTCATATAACTAAAAAGTTAAATTTGTGATGTAAAGTACTTGTTAATTTAAGAAATAAGCATTTGAAGTGTGATGGTGCACGCCTTTAGTCCCAGCACTCAGGAGGCCGAAGCAGACAGATCTCTGTGAGCTCGAGGTCAGCCTGGTGTACAAATCGTAGTTCCAGGACAGCCAGGGCTACACAGAGAAACCCTGTCTTGAAAAACCAAAAGAGAAAGAGAAAAAAAGAAGTAAGCATTTTGTTGGTAAAGTCATGTGAGGGAACATCCATAGTACTTAGCAAGCTCATTTTCTCCAAAGGATAATAATGGGAAATTATGTTCATAATTCTTTAAAATGGCCTATAGTCTTTTTGCTTTAAATATTTAAAAATCTAATCCCTCACTCTCTTGAAATAAAATGAACAAATGCTCCCTCAAAGCATTCATCTCCCTTTGAAATCTCAAAAGGGAGCAATCACTACTACAACTAAATGAGTTTGTTTGTTATGAAAACCACAAGCAACAGCCGAAAATAGCAGAGTCAGCACAAGGAATTCCTGGAAGGGTGATGATGCATCAAAAGGTTAGGTACTCTGTTTTGATGGAATCATAAAAACATCTGGAGGACTGTAAAATCAGCATCAATGGACTTTAATTCTTGACACAGACCGAAGACCTTCTCTCTAGATAACGACTTCAGGAAAAATGAAAATGTCACCAAGATAAAAAGTTAAAGGAGGGTTAGGGATTTAGCTCAGTGGTAGAGCGCTTGCCTAGCAAGTACAAGGCCCTGGGTTCGATCCTCAGCTTAAAAAAAAAAAGTTAAAGGAGTGCTTTTCTCCTCAGAAATCAAACAATCTCATTTGTCTTTGGATAAAAATACTCATTAGGAAGAAAAGAGTCCACTATTTGAAAGGCAAACTTTATTTTATATTTTGAAAATTCTGAGCACTTTCTGGGTACTCATTAACATAAGCTATAAAAGACTACATACACAATGCTAATTTTTGTACTGAAAAACAAGCTATGCTACAAAAATTTTATATTTTCTTTTGAATCAATTAAGCTGCCAAAAGTTCACATGTTTTCAACAAAAAGTATGTATTTGTATCACTAACTTGGACTGGTGTGAAATATTAAAGACATTTTTAGCTTAACAGACTGTTCCTTAAGATTCTTTTAAATGGTTCTAATCAGTTGAGGAAAAGATGAGTATAACAAGTAATAAGATTGAGATAAAATTGTCACTCAGTTCTTTAACTGTTCCAATGAATAATTAATAACAATTGCATTGTTCTCTGGCTTCCCTTACAATAATATTCTCAAGTCGAACTAAAAGTGATGGCTGCAATAAAATCTGTCATCTAATAGTAAGCACAGGTGGGAACAGGAACTATTATTTGCAAACAGGAAGGCATTACGGAAATACACTAACAGGGATATCCGATAGATCTGAAGATTGAATTTAAAAACCTGCATGGCAAATTTTAGGTCAAGAATTACAACATTCACAGGTTAATACCAAACCAAATCTCTGCATAAATTAACATTTAAACGTCAAAAACTTTAAAAAATCATCTTTGTTCTTCTAAACACTGTTCCTTTCTACCCTAACTATATTCCTTCCTTCCCCTTTTGTGACGTGGGATTTTATTGATCCCAAACATGTTCACATTCAGAAATCAGTCCCCACCAGATGCCCGGACACCTAGATCCCACACATCATACTCATCTTTAAAACTCAAAGAGTTTTGAAAACATCACCATCTGATGACCATCATATCAAATTAACCAGGCCCTCTTCTAAACAGACTTTTCCTCTTAACTGGTTTAAAAAGAAAAAAAAGAAAGAAAGAAAGAAACTGAAGATCTACTGAATTAACGATAAATGTTTGATGAATTAATAAACTTATGAAGAAGCAAATCCAACTCAAGATTTCTCTTCTGTGGCTCCCCATTCATTCATTCCACAAAGGAGCGCCTCGGTGACCTATTTTCGCTTGCTTTCCCCACACCTGCCAGGTCACTGTCCTGATTTGAGAAACTTACTAAAGCAATTAATTTTTAGTGCCTCCTAACTGTCCCCGGTGTTTGCATTCAATCTGAAATCTGTTACTTGTTAGACACTGTTCGGGTCCTAGATCTTCCAGAGAATTACGCGTTTATGGCGCAGAGAGGGGAGGAGGCAGGGATCTCTGAGAGCCTGCCCTTTATTCGGAAATGAGGAGATGTGAAAGGTGGAAGGCAGGGCAAATAAATAAATAAATCGGGTTTGCCGCGGGAGCGTTTGCCTGCCGCAACGAGCACCCTTTGTAATGCAGGCCTCCCGGGGCCATCGCCTTCGCTAATTGCTCCAGGGCGCTTTCCAAGTTCAAAAGTTCACCTTTTACGACCTCACAAAAGCTCCTTACACGTTACCAATAAAAACATTCCGCCACAAACACCGAGGGGAAAAATATCAAACAAAAACAAATAAAACACTGCGCGCGGGGGTGGGAGGTGGGGGGGAGGGAGCCAACCCGGAGGAACCTGAGGACTGGGCCTGGACAAGAGGACACAAGCGGCCGGGCCAGGTGAGGAATTCTCAGCACCCCGGAAGAGCTAGGCTGAGCGGCGAGGGAAGCGTCCGGCAAACGCCGGGAAAAGGCAGGTGTCCCGAGTCCCGGCATCCCGCTGGAGACCTGAGCCAGCAGCAAGTCTCAGCCTAGGAGAAGGGGCCTGAGGACAGGAGCGGGCATCGAGGTCCGAGGAGGGACACCATTAGGGGTCTGCGCAGAGGCGGAGGCTCGCCGGGCTGGGAGGAAGCGTGGGGCTTCCTGAGGAAAACGCCCTAGGAGAGGTGCAAAGTGCCGAAGTGTGGCGTCTGCGAGCCCCCCAGGTGAAGGAATAGGATGCTCCATAAACCAGGGCCCCCTGGGGGAGGAGCACGGACTGGCGTAGAGGGGCCGGGGTGGGGGGGGGTCCGCGCTGAGGGCACCCGGGACCCTGAGTAGAGAGTGCGAGCCCCGGGGTGGAGTCCACGCTGAGGGGCCGCCCGGCGTCCCGGAGCCAGAGTCGCCTGAGAGAAAGAGAGGGTCGCGGGCGTTGGGACCGCCGGGGCTCCGAAGGCCCTTCACCCACCGTTGCGCGGCGGCGGAGGGAGCGCGGCGGGCGGCTCCAGGAACCCCGCCGAGCCCCCGCCGCCTCCCCCTCCGCTAGACGGCCGTTCGTCCCGCTCCATGCGGCGGCGCTCAGGGCCCCCGCAGGCTTCGCTGCTCCGCCATGACTCGCGCCCTAGTAGTCGTCGTCGTCGTCGTCGTCCACCGGGGGGAGGGGGCTGTCAGGGGCCGGCAGGCTCCCGGCCGCCGCGCGCTCTGGGCCCCCGAGCCTCCCGGCTCCGCGCTCCTCCGCGCCGCGCCCCCTCAGCACTGGCCAGCTCCCTCCTCTGACGTCACGCGCCGCTGCCACGCGCATGCCCACGGAGCGTGCTAGGAATTGTAGTCCTCCAGGCGAGGCTGGCCACACGGGTCTCTACCAATTGAAGGGGTGAAGGACTGATACTGGCAGTCCTGAAGAGGGAGAACCAAACCATATCATTATTCCGAACTCTAGTAAAACTTCGTATAGAGAAGAAATGATTATGTCACGGTCCTCTCTCTGTTGTAACTTGTCCGAATCAGAGTTCTCTGTAATTCCGACTGCCTCCCCGCGCTAGTAATGAGTCTTTCCAAGGAGGCGGATCCACCGGGAACCCTCAGAGCACGTGCAACCAAGCCCAGCCCTGTGGGGAAGGCCCCAGGGGGCGGGGTATGTAGATACTCTTGAGGACTCTCCTCCGCGGTCGCGGGACAAATTGGACCAGAGATTAAAGGACCCGAGTTTAACCTGAGGTGACTGCGTTCGTATGCAAATAGAATCTATACAACTCTGCTTTCCGGAGAAGTGTTTAAAGCCTCTTACCTCCGGGTGGGCGGGAAAGACTAAAGTTTCTCTTCCTCCTCTTTCATTGCCCGCACCCTGCCCATAGAACAGATGGGCAAACTAAGATCAGGGACGTTGATGCCATCAAAGAAAACTTGAAACTCTTGACTACGGGTGTCTTAAAGAGCTGTTTTAAGAATACCCCTTTTCCGGCCTGTTCTTCCCACCTCTGCTCAGTTTACCTGTCTGGAAAATGGGAGTTGTGATAAGAACCGTGTCCAATGGTAAGATGCTAACACTCAGATACACACACGTCGCCTCCGTTTACCGAAGTGTCTACCAAACAAAATCCTGGATTTTCTCCCTTCCTACACCAGGGCACACCTCCCGCGGCCACCAGGTGGCGCGCGGCCACGGGCCTCAAGACCAGCTGGGATGGCTGTTTTCAGTGTCGCCCCCCATCTCCCTTAGGAAAACACTATTGTAGTAGGTTTCAGCCCAGGACGTAAGAGCTATCTGTGCCCCTAGAAGACAAAGACCCCTACTGCTTTGCTTGCTTGTCCTCTGTTGGGTCATTCAGAGGCGTCTTCACTACGTCACCTCACTCTGCCCCATCTGCCTCAGCAGTTCTCTGGCAGTTCTGTGGCATTCCTTATTCAATTGTTTAAACGTCTTTATCCTGGCATATGCAGTCTAGCCTGTTCCAATTCCTGCCCACATTGCTCCCACACCTCTTCCTTCACCTGCTGTTCAGGAGACTTTGCCACGCCTTCCTGCATTTTCCAATAGCTGTCCATTACCAGTATTAGTTAGCCTGGGTTTCATCCTTAACAGCCAGCTGCTGTTATGAGATATTTACACAAATTATACGTTATCTAGACCTCCCACACCTGCTCAACGAGGTATCCCTGTTATTGTTGCTCTCACATGCAAATGAAATGGCCCAGAAGTGATTGCTACTCCGTGGGTCAGAAAGCTGAAATGCCACTGAGCAGTAGTGGCACACACCTTTAATCCCACCACTCGGGAGGCAGAGGCAGGTGGATCTCTGTGAGTTTGAGGCCAGCTTGGTCTACAGAGGGAGTTCCAGAGCAGCCAAGGCTACACGAAGAAACCCTGTCTCAAAAAAAAGAAAGAAAGAAAGAAAGAGAAAGAAGAAAGCTGCAATGCCTGACCACTGTAAATTCTTAACTCATCTTTTTAGATCCTGTTCCAATTCCTCAGTTGCACTTCCTTAATATCTCCCATCAAGGGACAACTGGGTCTCTCTGTGTTCCACATGACCCTGTCTGTCTAGGTGGACTGTAAGAAATGGTCTTCAAGTCGTTACTTCCTTGCCACTGTTTCTGAGCTCCCCAAGGCCAGGGAGCTGTACTCTGCGGCAGGCCCCTGCAACAAAGGAGGTCCCTTAGTGTTGTGGGGAAGAAATCCTTCTTCAGCTGTGCATTTTAAAATGTGTCAGGATCACATGGTCTTCCCAGAGACCCTGGATGCAGAACTTCCCCTTCCCTGGAATGTTCTTCCCTGGAATGCCAAGTGCCCTGCAGACATCTGATACCTGAGGATTGAAAGGTGGATGGAGCCGGGCGGTGGTGGCGCACGCCTTTAATCCCAGCACTCGGGAGGCAGAACCAGGCGGATCTCTGTGAGTTCGAGGCCAGCCTGGGCTACCAAGTGAGTTCCAGGAAAGGCGCAAAGCTACACAGAGAAACCCTGTCTCGAAAAACAAAAAAACAAAAAAACAAAAAAAAAAAAGAAAGGTGGATGGAGACTAAGTCAACCCAAAGATTAGTTCAACCACATGCACAGCTCCTGAAGACAACTCTTTCTCCTTTTCAGTTCCATGCTTCCTCCTTCCCAAAGCCTTCCCAGATACCCTTGACCAGCCAATCTTTTTCTCTCTCACCATTATCTCCTCTGCTACCAAGCAGCATGCAGTAGATACTCACTAGATAGGCATCCACTAAGGAAGGGTCCAGCACCCACACTGGGCCTTTTTTTTTTAATTTTTTGACATTTTCCCCACAATCCTGAAAAGTGAGTGCCCTCTGCTCTAAGTTGAGGAGACAGGTTCTGTAAGACAGATTTAAAGGGCTCTCAACATTTACAGGGAAGACAGAAGAATGGAAAGGAATATATCTAAGGATGAGGTTGAGGTAAGGCTGCAGAAGACCCATCCTGAAGAGGCCAGAGGCAGGCAGGGCTACAGCTAAAAACAAGCCAAGTGTGGGCCTCATTGTGGCGTCCTTACCCTACAGTGAATGATGCAGACATAAGTCACACAACCCTACAATTGCATGAGTGCTATAGCTAAGAATCTCAGGTGTGCTAGGCGGGCTGGGAGTGTGTGGCAGAGACAGGGAGCACCGAAGGTGGGGGGGGGGGGTAGCAAGAGTGAGCCAGGCTGAGTGAGAAGACCGTCTGTGGAAGTAGCAGCTCAAATGGAAGTCCCAAAGCCAATTAGGGACTTGGTACATTTGAGCTATGGGTTATTTATTCATGGTGACAGAGATGACGGAGGACGCTAGGTTGTCCAGAAGGGGGCAGAGTTCCTCCGATGGCCTGTCTCTGCCTTGCTCTAGCAGGACCTGCCTTAAAGAGTCAACCAGGCTGCCTGCATCCATGAGAAAGCTGGAAAAGAGAATTCTTGCCTTGTTGGATTTGTTTCAAGTCTACCTTGTCGCCTGGTGGCAGTGGTGGCACAGTCAGTGGTGGCACCTGCCTTTAATCCCAGCACTCGGGAGGAAGAGGCAGATGGGTCTCTGTGAGTTCAAGGCTAGCCTGGGCTACAGAGTGAGTTCCAGGACAGCCAGGGCTACACAGAGAAACCCTGTCTGGAGAAAAAAAAAAAAAAAAAAAAAAAAGGTGTACTTTGTCTATATTTTGAAAACATAGGTGGCATGTTGTAAAACCCACAATTTAAAAAAAAGGAAAGTATCTAATAAAGATTCTTCATCAATTCCTGTCTGTAAGATCCTCGTCCTTGGAAATAGGCACCATGCTGGTGTCCTGTGTGTCCTTTCAAACTTGGTCTGTGTACAGAAGAGCATGCCCAATAATTGGTTTTTATACTAGACCTGGAAGAGTTCTGGAGAGGATCTCCAGAAACAAACACTGCATACATGACGTGAGAGTCGTACAGTAATTAGGCCTCAGGCTAGCTCAGTGGTTCTCCAACTCTATAGCCCCTGAGGGCTCCTGAGAGTGTAAATTGCTGAACCCCCACCTCCTGGTAAATCTGGTTCAGTAACTGGGCTGGGGCCTGAGAATTTGTTTTTCTAACAAGTTGAGGCTGCTGGCTGGAGGGACTCAGACAAGCAGAGGTAAGGAGCAAATGGGTTTGGCAGCATTTAGGGCACAAGTCAGTGTGCCTTGCTTGTGCAATGGAGGCCCGGTAAGCCAGGTTAACATAAAAGTGATCAGAAGAGGGGTCACCTACAGTGAGTATAGAAGAGAAAGGGAGCCCAGCCCCTAAGAGTGTGTAGAGGGTTGGAAAGGCCTGCAAGAAAGTCTGGAAAGGACCCCCATGTTGAAATAAAAGGGGGAGACTGAGGTGGGAGCAATTTAAAAGAGTGTGACCCAGAACTCAGGCTGCAGAAATGAATGACTGACTCAGCAGTTAAAGTTCTTGCTTTGCAAACATAAGAACCTGAATCAGGAACTCCCAACATCCACATTAAAAGGTGGGGATGGTGTGTGTTTGTAAAACATCAGAAGTGGAGAGGCAGAAACAGGAGGGTCCCTGGAGCTCATTGGCCAACCAGTATAGCCAAAAGAAAGGGCTTCAGGTTCAGTGAGAGACTCTGTCTCAAAAAAAAAAAAAAAAAAAAAAGAAGCAATGGAGGAAGAAGACACCATCATCTTCCAGGGAGTATATGTAAATACACTACACTACACACAGAGAGAGAACACTGAACAAGGAAGGGTAAGAGATATATATGTCTTGCATTTCATTACAGTACATCTCAAAAAAAAAAAAAAAAAAGCACCTAGGTGTAGCAGAGGCCTCAGACCCCTGGAAAGAGCAATAGCTGCCTGGGAAACTGAAGAATCAGACGCTCCACTGAGAATGGAAAGGAGAGGGCTGTTAAAAGGTAACTGTTATTGGCACAACAGAGAGGAAAAGATGGAAAACGTAAAAGAGAAGGGGCTGAGCCTTGAAAAGGCTAGAACCAACAGTGTCTGGGACAGAGACGGGATGGCGTTGTCAGAGCAAAGGGTGAACTGAAAGTACCACTTGAACTTTGTAACCATTCCAAAAAGACTATTTGACTATTTTCTCCTTTTTGTTTGTTTGGGTTTTTTGTTTGTTTGTTTGTTTTTCGAGACAGGGTTTCTTTGTGTACTCCTGGCTATCCTGGAACTCCCTTTGTGGACCAGGCTCGCCTCAAACTCAGCATTCCTCCTGACCTTGCCTCCCGAAAGGCGTGCGCCACCAGCGCCCGGCTGTTTTCTCCCTTTTATCGATGGGGAAACTGAGACTCAAAAGGCAAAGGGACATGTCCAAAGTCCTTCATTTCACAAAACGTGGCCTCGGTCCGCCGCGAGCCCGCACTTCTCTTACTGCCTGGCTGCTGCTACTGCTTTCTCCCAGAGGCACTTGGCAAAGCCGCAGGACGGCAGGGGAGGGATGGGGAGGGGAGGGGCGGGCACCTCTCCACCCTAGCTCCGCCCCCAGCGGCGCTGCAGGGGCACCGGGTTGGGGGCTGTTCCCGCTGCAGAGCTGGGCTGCAGCATCGAACTCCCAGTGTTGCCGGCGCTCCCTAGCGTGCTTGCGGAGACGGTGGTGCCCGTCGAGCCATGGCAGCGGCAGCCCTCTGGTCTTGGTGCCTCCAGTTGAGGCTGTTGCTGCTGCCGCTGCTGCTGCTTTTGCTTCGGGCGGATCCTGTGCGGCCTGACAATAAGGTACGTGCGCTGCTGGAACCTGGCGCAGCTCAGCGGTGGCCGGCGCCAGAGGGTGCTATGGCTGAGGGTGCACGCCAAGGAGGGTGCCTTCAGTAGGGAGATGGGGATTAGGAAAGGCAGATCAGACTTCGGACTTAGTCTGGACTCATCTGGAATCAAAACTCTTGAGAAAGGAACGTGTGCGAGAAGAAGCACTGATAATGACAGGGTGCTTAGATCCTGGAGCCTGAGGAAGAGGCGATGTGGACCTTATCTTAATGCTCAGAGATCAGGCCTCAAACCCAAGATCAAGTTGGGAAGTCCCAGGTGCTCTGGGGCGGGCGGGGGAAGGTGCTCAATAAGAGCAACTTGTTGAGTTTCCATGGAAGGTTGACCACGTGGGTGTAGACCCGTGGGCAGCTGTTATCCAGGGACTCCCGGGCTACCAAGGCTTTCAGGAGAGGCTGGGCACCCAAAGTTCTTTCCTCAGTGAATCTTTCTGGGCTGGCCACTTGCCTTGGCCTCAGAGACCTGAATTCACACACTATTCACCTGTCGCTGGTGCTTTTACCTCTTTTAGCCTCCGTCTGTCTGTCCTTCCTTCCTTCCTTCCTTCCTTCCTTCCTTCCTTCCTTCCTTCCTTCCTTCTTTCCTTCCTTCCTTCCTTTGTTGAACCAGTCTCACTGTAATTCTGGCTTGCCTGCCGAGGGGTAGTGGTGCACGCCTTTACACTCTAGAGGCAGCGACAGGCAGATCTCAGTAAGTTCGAGGCCAGCCTGGTCTACAAAGCGAGTTCCAGGATGGCCAGGATTGTTACACAGAGAAACCCTGTGTTGAAAAAAAAAAAAAAAAATCTGGCTGGCCTGGAACACAATGTGTAGACCAGGCTGTCCTAAAACTCTCAGAGATCCTATAGCATCTGCCTCCCCAACTCTGAGATTAAAGACATTCACCATTTCTTCACCTGTAAGCATGGGGAGGGGAGATTATACCCACTCTCTACTGTTGATGATTTCTAGATTCAGTGAGATTATGCAGAATGTTTAGCACCACACCTAAAATCAAAACCAATCCCAAAACCAGGTGTTAAATCCAGAACATAGAGGGAGCGAGTATTTGAGACAGATCAAGAACCCCTTAAGGGTAATCTAGAAATGACCTGATGAAGATGAAGATGAGCCTAGAGCAATATTTTTCAACCTGTAGGTCTCGACCCCTCTAGAGTCGAATGACTCTTTCAATGGGGGTCACATATCCTGCATATCAGATAGTTATGATTCATAACAGTTATGAAGTAGCAATGAAATGATTTTATGGTTGGCGGTCACTGGCCTAGAGGGAAACAGAGGATAAGAGAGGCAATGACTTCTCTTGATGTCATTCCATTTTTTCCCAGTAGAATCTGAGTCTGCCTATGAGCAGGTAAAGGGTAAAAGCTATTCTTTTGCTGTACAAACTTGGAAATATGACTCTGGGCTTCAGTTCCTCCTGGGATTCTTGTGGTAGCATAGTATCTATCCTCTATTGGGCACCTACTAGGTGTGATGCTAAACATTCTGCATAATCTCATTGAATCTAGAAATCATCAATGTCCCCTCTGGTTCAGTGAGCAAAATCTCAGATGATCTGATCAGCACTTTCTCACCCCCTGACTGTCCTCTGGCTGGGAAGGACTTTTGGACTTGAGCATCTCTGAGTTTTGCAAAGGGCTAGAGAGCAGGAGGGCTTTCATCCAAAACAAAGCCAAGACAAAGAAAACTCAACACCCTGTTTATGTAGTGAGTCAGCCAAACACTTGCTAGGTTGGGAAGGGGGTATATTTACTTGTCCCAGGGCAAGCTGGAGCTGGTGGAGTAGGGGAGGACAAAGCCCAGCACACCCTCCCTGAGACACCTCCCATCCCTGCTCTACTTCAGCCAGCTGGGAAAAATAAAAGTCAAGTGATGGGTGAATTTACTCTGCATTCCTGCCCAGCTAGTCTCCTGCTGGCTCTGCAGAGCTGTTCTCATTATCACCCTCTCTTTCCACAGTAAGGACCCAACTTCTTCCCCTCCAAGCATGGCCTGTTTTTGTTGGGGTAAGATTGGGGGGCTAAGAGGACCACCTTGGAACTTAAAATGGATCGAGGGTCCTAGAGCTTTAAATTTGCTCCTCAGCAGGCTTCCTCTTTCTGGCAGGCTCCTGCCCATTACACTCACCCTAGTACTCTGTTGGTCTCCCTGCATTTTAAGTTTATGTTTATAGTGAGGCTCTCCTAAACAGGATTTGGAGTTTCCATCTAAGGAAGTGCTTTGTCTGGCCTGAAGTAGGAGGGGGAACTCACAGCTGCCCTGGTATTTCTGCATGGCTGCCGAGCGAGCATTGAGGATGGGGAGGACAGGCAGGTAGCACCCTATGACACCCAGGCATGGCAGTAGACACTCCTGGAAGTGATCATTTACCTGTCTCTCTATCTGAGAAAGAGCTGCTGGGACCTCATTCTGCATACATGCAGGGGTGGAAAGGTGCTTGAGCAAAGAGAGAAAACTGATGCCTGTGGGAGCCAGAGCAAGGGACTAGACCAGGGTTAGTCCAGCAGGCGGTGGTTTCCTTGGCCAGGTCAGATGTCCCAGGCAAGCCAGTCCCAGGGGCTTAGGTAGTGCTTCACATCTACCCCTGGAGTTTTCTCATGTGGGTGTAATTGGAAGCAGGCTCCTGAGCAGAAAAAGCAGAATGACAGGGTGATGGAGTCCTCTTTCTGATACAGTATCAGGCCAAGCAAAACCCCACCATCTCTCTATAAGAAATGGACCTGCAGGGTTGGGGATTTAGCTCAGTGGTAGAGTGCTTGCCTAGCAAGCGCAAGGCCCTGGGTTCGGTCCTCAGCTCTGGGAAGAGAAAAAAAAAAGACAAAATAACAAAAAAGAAATGGACCTGCATCAACACTCCTTTTGGCAGAATACCAGGACCAAGGTCCATGCCCAGCATTGTACATTTAGCATCACATACAACTGTCCTGTTAACACTGCCAAGTATTAGTGGTCCCTCCCCAGGGAATAAATTTGAACACCCTAAAGAATCACACTAGGCTGCCAGGAAGTGGCGCATGACTTTAATCCCAGCACTCCAGAGGCAGAGCCAGGCGGATCTCTAAGTTCAAGGCCAGCCTGGTCTACAGAGCGAGCTCCAGGACAGTCACCAAAATTACACAGAGAAACCCTGTCTCGAAAAAAAAAAAAAAACAACAACAACAAAAGAGTTACACTGGGGCTGAGTGGTGGTGGCTCACACCTTTAAGCCCAGCACTCGGGAGGTGGGTCTCTATGAGTTGGAGGCCAGCCTGGTCTACAGAGCTAGTTGCAGGACAGCGAGGGATACACAGAGAAACCTTGTCTCCCAAAAAACAAATCATTATCATCATCATCACTCTGGGACACTGGGGTATCTGCACATTCCAAGTACAATCCCAGATACTTCTGAGGCACAGCCCCAGCCCAGTCCAGAACTTAATGGAGGCAATATGGAACTAAGATCTGTGGAGCCAGAGAGTAACAGATCATCAAAGAAAAGTGATTTTGGAAGATTAATCCAGCAGAGAGGAATACATACTGACATTGGGCTATGGTCATGGAGTTGGTAGCAAAGTACAAAGGTGGGAAATATTTAGGGTAAACCTTAGGGAAACTATTACTAGCGAATTGTCCAGAGTTCAGAGGAGGCACAGAGACCTTGCCTGGGAAAGAGGGAACGTAGATAGGATGGGAGAAGATCCTGCATATAGCTTACCTGAATTGAATTTGGGGCCTCCAGAAAGAGGTGTCCAGATGACCATGGACTTCAGTTGAGGGCTTTGCAGGGAAACTGCCTCAGGTGAAGTAGAATAGTCATGAAAAGAAGGCAGCCCCAGCTTTAAAAGACAACCTCATGTGAGCCTGCCCAGCCATTGCAAGAGCACTCCCTTACTCCAACCAGATTTATCCAGCTCTCTCCAAAAACACCTCAAGCTCCCCTGTAGCGGCTCACTGTGAGCTTTCCTTGCAAATAAATACTCAGAGGCCTTCTAAGCACTAACCACCACCACTAACACATCTGGGAGCTTTGGCAGGGGCATGTGCTGTGCACAGCTGCAGGGAAAGATGGGGGCTAAGGCAGAGACTTTCCTATTTGACAGCAACTTTCAGCCTTCATGCCAAGGAACAGACCCAGGAGGTAGCCCCAGATCCTATGACCTCCTTCTGTGCAGACCTCTGTCAGTCCCAGCTCAGTTGCTAGGACAGAAGCCTTGACTTGGTGACCATAGGTGTTCAGGGGAAGGACATGTAAACATGTAAACAAAGTTTTAGAATCAGTCTGAATGGACAAGCTTCTAGCCTTCCCTAATGTACCATGGGGTTGTGTTAAGGACAAAGAGAGATGGAAAACCCAGAGGTAATACGGTAATAGTTGGAAGGGCTTCCAGAAACAGCACATATAGCACAGATTGCTTAAAGTAGGAGTTACTCTGGGCAAGAACTATACCAGGTGCTCTCCGTACACTGACTGCAGTTTCATGACAAGCTCGAGAAGGGATTAATAACCACCCCATTTTACAGAGGGGGAAGCTGAATTCTAAGGGTCATGCAGGAAGGAAGTATAGGTGCCAGAACTATAGTCCAGACAGAGCTTTTCACCATGGGGCTTGGCTGTTTCCAGCTTTACCCTACTGGAGGCAGGACCTTGCTGCATTCCTGGCAATTGGGTTTGGGATCAGGGGCCTTCTTCCAGCTCCTGACAGTGTGAGAGCCTTGGCCACCCCCGTCAGGACATAGCACCTCATCTGAGGAGGAAGGAATGTAGCAGTCTAATGTGGAGGCAGCTGCTGGTTGGGTGGGGTTTGAGGCAATAGATGGGGGGCCTCCAGGAGACCCCTCTATGGTTTGACCACACAGAACACATACACACATCTACCTACTGGGCTTTTGACACTGATGGGGAAGTAATACAGTGTCATGGAGTTTTAACAGAGCTGAGAGAAGACATTGAGTTCCTCTCTGATGGGGTTCTGGGGACAGCAGAAGGCCTAGAGAACCGGCAGGCTTCTGAGACTGACTGTCTATTCTAAAGGAAGGGAACATTCGCCTGTAGCATCCAGCGTGAACTCCACCCACAGAGTACCAGGGCAGAGAGCAGGACTGCAGCCTCCTTTCTAACTCTCCTCTCCACCCACTGTTCCCTGGCCTCTGCACAGCTGCAGAAAAAGAAAAAAGAAAAAAAAAAAACAGAGGAAATCCACATGGCCCAGGCTCATCCTCTCCAACCGGGCATTTTATGGCTTAGGGGCTGTTTCCTCATCTGTAGGATGTTGCGAACGATAGAAAAAAGTAGACCAGTGCACCCACACAGAGAAACAGATAGCCTACAGCCCAGTGTGTTTCTGCCTTGTCTGAGTGTGGGACCGGGTCACTCTATCTGTCAGCCCACCTATGTCCTTGGTGGGATAGGCAGCAGTGATCTGTGCTCACAGGTGTTAGCCCAAGCTAACCTGGTTGGCCATGGACTCCAGCCTCCCTGCCGTCAAATAGCACATTGGGCTGGGCGGTGGTGGCACACACTTTTAATCCCAGCACTCGGGAGGCAGAGGCAGGGGGATCTCTGTGAGTTCAAGGACAGCCTGGTCTACGAAGCTAGTTCCAGGACAGCCAGGGTTATACAGAGAAACCTTGTCTCAAAAAACAAACAAAAAAACACATTGGAGAGGGTGAGCCCAGGTTGTGTGGATTTCCTATGTTTCTTCTGAAGCTATGGAGGATGCAGGTTGTAGTGAAAGATGAAAGGAGTCGGGAGGGAAAGGGAAGGCAAAGGATGGGCTGCAGATGAGACCCATTCTTCAGGGGCACACCCTCAGTGACCTACTTCCCCCAGCTAGGCCCCTCCCGACTTGCACCACCTCTCAAAATGCCCCCAATTATGAACCCATCAGTGAATTAAGCCACAGTGAGCTCAGAGCCTTTGTGATTCCACCTCCCTGGCCCATCAGCAGTCAACTGAGCCTTTACACAAGAATCTTGGGGAACATTTCAGATTCAAGCAGAAAGCTGAGATCCTCAGCCAGCCAGCCCCAGGACCTCCCAGATTTGGCTCTGCCATGTCTATAGCCTCACCTGCTGCCACCATGTACCCCTGAAAGCACCAGTAGGAGTGACCTTCCCACCCAACCCCCAAGGTCTCCTGAAAAGCCATACTCACTCTTGCTTTTGCCTGTCTGATTTGTTTCCCAGCACTGCCCTGTCCTGTCCTCAAGGGCACCCTTCTCTAGGCCACCCTCAACAGTCTTTGTGCCCTCAGAGCTTCTGTGTTGCATCTCTGTGTCTAAAGGAGTCAAGAATAGACTGTGCTTGGTGGCACATACCTTTAATCCCAGCACTCGAGTGGCAGAGGCAGGCAGATCTCTGAGTTCAAGGCCAGCCAGGGCTACACAGAGAAACCCTGTCACGGAAACAAAAATACGAAGAAGAATGTTCCCTGATCTATTTCTCCCGCGCCACTAGCTGTTACCCACTCAGGGCCTGGCAGAAGCCAGGGACTCAAACAGGTGTCTGAGGTCTATAGAGGAAATGGAGGTCTGAGTCCCTTTCCTTAGGGCTTTGGTGCTTGGCAGAGGCCCAGGGTGCCACGAGCTCACTTGTGTCCGTATGGTTTCTTATCCAGTGATAGCTGAGCAGCCGTAGGCCTGGGGTGAGTTTTTGTGGACTGGGCTGGGATGAGCTGTACACTAAGGGTCTGGAGCCCAAGGTACAAGCCAAGTGTGTCTATGCGAGGCACCTGCCTCTCATCTCACTGGGTTTGTATCTGAGGACACAGCTAGTGATGCCCCAGAAACAAGTGGCCATATCTGGTCATGGGGTGTGTAGCATCCAAGGGTGGGGTTGAAGGAGGAGGGGAAGGTCATGTTTTGTCATGTGATCCCCATTTTGAGAAGGCTGGATACCGAGAGTCCTCCATTCTGCCATTGAAGAAGTGGGGTTAGAACCTGTTGAAGGTCACCTCTACCCAGGGTGTAGGAGAACAGTTCTGTAGAAGTCACCTAGGAAAAGAGGCTTTTGAGTCCTCACTCCTCACTATGAGACAATTGGCAGTTAATGATTGTGAGGGAGGGGTGTCATTTTAAAACTCACCATCAAAGTGGGGCACACACACACTATCAAAGTAGGAGGGGGACATGAGGAAATGAATAAAGGGCTTTAGCAGGAGAGAGAGAGGGGGATGGTAAAGGGTAATAGGGAAGAAAATGACCAAAATATATTGTATACATGAGTGAAACTGTCAAAGAATAAATAAAAAGAGAAACAAAGCAATGATGTGTCTTGGAACCAATCTTCTACTTAAAAAAACTGTGTGATCTTTGAGATTGTGACTCCCTGAGCCTGTATCCTTATCTGTCTTTTTTTTTTTTTTTTTTTTTGGTTTTTTGAGACAGGGTTTCTCTGTGTAGCTTTGCACCTTTCCTGGATCTCGCTCTGTAGACCAGGCTGGCCTCGAACTCACAGAGATCCACCTGCCTCTGCCTCCCGAGTGCTGGAATTAAAGGTGTGTGCCACCACTGCCCAGCTCTTATCTGTCTTAATGGCTCACACACAAGACACGCTTTGTATGTGCCAGCTACTATTTGGGGGTTTTTTGTTTTGTTTGTTTTTTCTATATTTCTTTGAATCTCCACTAGCCTCTGAGTCAGGAACCTACTTTTCAAGATGCAAGAAGATGACAGGAACAGTATGCTGCCCTCTCACCCAGGATCCAAGCCTTGTGCTTTTTTTTTTTGGACAAGATTTCTCTGTGTAGCCCTGGCTGTCCTGGAACTGGATTTATAGACCAGGCTAGCCTCAAACTCACAGAGATTTGCCTGCCTCTTCTTCCCAAATGCTAGGATTAAAAGCATGAACTGAGGTGCCCCACTGACAGTTTTTTTTTTTTTTTAACTTTTCCACAGCTGGGCATTAACATTTGAATTATAATTATAATAATGCTGCTGCATCCCTGTTCCTTCTCTCCTACCTCTAAGTGCCACCCAAAGACCAGCAGGTTGGATTCTGCTACACTCACCCTCCATCCTCCCACCCCCAGCCCTGTCCCCACAGTGCTGGCCAAATGGAACCCCTCTCGCCCACACTTTGCAGGTGTTTGGCAACCTGGACCAGGTACGGATGACCTCAGAGGGCTCTGACTGCCGCTGCAAATGCATCATGAGACCACTGAGCAAGGACGCCTGCAGCCGGGTACGCAGTGGGCGTGGACGAGTAGAGGACTTCTACTCTGTGGAAACGCTAAGTTCAGGGACCGACTGCCGCTGCTCCTGCACTGCTCCACCTTCCTCACTCAACCCCTGTGAAAATGAGTGGAAGATGGAAAAACTCAAGAAGCAGGCACCTGAGCTACTCAAGGTAGGCTGACACAGTGAGGGGGTTGGCCTGGCTCTCTCATGACATCAGTATCACAAGTCAGCAAACTGAGCTTCCTGAGTGAAACCAGCTGAAGTCAGTGGGGCCCCTTGAATCACTTACTGTCCTGGGTGTCATCTAAACCATTTACTTTCACCTGGCTGTATTACAAATGCTGGGGCACTTTATTATTATTTTGTTTGTTTTGTCTTGCTTTTTGAGACAAGGTCATACTCTGTTGCCCATGTTGCCTCTGCTGCCTGGATTCTGGAATTATAGGCGTATGCCATCACACTAGGCTTATTTTCATTTATTTTAATTGGATAGGGTTCATGTACACCAGACTTGCCTCAAACGTCATATGTAGCCCAAGACAACCTTGAACTTCTGATCTTCCTACCTCTGCTTACCAAGTACTGATATTACATGTGGGCAGTGCCATGCCAGTGCTCAGTGTGCCAGGTGGGGCTAGGATTTGAGCCCAGGTCCTATGGTATCTAAATCATACATCTAAACCACCTGCTCTTTTGCCTTTCTCTAAAGGACCACTTTGTTGGACCTTATTAAGGGCAAATTTGTTTCATATCTTATAAATTTTTTTTGTCTTTTAATGTATGTGAGTGTTTTGCCTACATGTATATAAGTGCATCACATGCATGTCTGCTGCCCATGGAGGCCAGAATTGGGTATCAGATCCCCTGGAACTGGAGTTACAGATGCTGGGAGCTGAATCCAGTTTCTCTGCAAGAGTAGCAAGTGGTCTTAACTGCTGCACCATCTCTCTACTCCCCTCTTGATATCTTTGTAAGTCTTTTCTCTTACAGTCTCTTTCAAATATGCATCTCATTGGCCTGTTTGGTGTCAGAAACCATGAATGGTCTGAGATGCTGACCTGACTTGTATAAGTTTACAAGATGACATAGCCCTGGATGCTAGTGGAAGGTCACAGACAAAGGACTTCATAACTCCCAGCTAATCTCCATTCTCATTCACTGGTTTGCTGTGCTTCAGCATACTGTATTCAGTATGGTGTGGGATAGAAGAACCCTGAGTTTAGAGAACTAAAACCTGTGTCATTTCCTGCAGGAAAATGCTGTGTCACGACCCAAGCTTACTCACTCTAACTAGGTGATTCCAAAGTAAGATGGTTGGATCCTTTGCATGCAAGATACACAGAGAAGCAAGAGGCCCATGAAGTGCTGCCTCCAGGATTTGGCTAAAAATGTTTTCTTTAAATTTAACTTTAGGAGCCGGGCAGTGGTGGCACACATCTTTAATCCCATCACTCAAGAGGCAGAGGCAGGAGGATCTCTGCAAGTTCCAGGCCAGCCTGGTCTACATAGTGAGTTCCAGGACAGCCAAGGCTACACAGAGAAACCCTGTCTTGGAAAAACAAAAACAGAAACAGAAACAAAACAAACAAACAAAAAATTAATTTTAGGTTTATTTTTGTACTACATAAATTTATGCCAAAATTATTAAACTTGGAGGGAGTAGCACATTTTAAGCCAGTGACCTTCTAACAGTTTGGATCACACTGTCTCCCTGGGGCCTCCCCAGTGCCCTGTGAACTCCAGCATGTAACCCACAGGCCTGTCTGCATTTACAGGGACAAACTGGGTTTCTTCTCAAGTCCAATAACTGGAGGTTCTGTTGTTTTGACTTGTGGATCCAAGATCTCACACTGTAACCCAGACTGACCTTGTACTTGTAGCAATACTCCTCCTCCCTCAGTCTCCCAAGTACTGGGCTTACAGGCATGCCCTATCATGCTCAGCTTCTGCAGCTGAGTTGTGAGCATGCTCACTATGAAGTCGTACAGGGCCTTTTGTCTAAAGGCTACCTCATATCATCTCTGCTAGAACCCTTTTAGAAAGGGAGCGTATGGTGTCAGCTTTACTTGTGATGGTCTCTGAATCCAAAGAAAGGATATAAATAGCCTGAAATAACAGAGAGGAGTGACAAGACTAAACTGAGCCCCAGATTCTCTGTTGCAGTTACTTGCCCACCTAAAAGGTCATGAGGCTGAGGTTCCCACCAAGCCATTGTCCCGTAGGCCTTCTCAGTGCCTAGCAGACATAGGGTCTTGGCCTGGCCTTAGAGATAGCATTACCCTACCCGGTAGAACATTCGAGAGGTGGGAGAGATTACCCACAGGGTACCCAGGGAAGCCCTAAATTAAGAACGGGGCAGAGGCAGTGGGCGTCAGTACAAGGGTTTCTCCCACTCATTTGGCTCAGCACCCTCAGCAAAAAGTTTGTGTAAACATCCCAGGGAGGGAATTAAGAGGACCCCTTGGGTACAGAATTTGCCTTACAGCCCACCTCTCTATCCAAGCCCCTTCGCCCATGCTAATAACTCCAGCTGTGCTCTGGCCTAGTCTACATAGCTGTATAAGAGAGGGCATGCCATCTTGCCCCATTTCTTGGGTAGACTGGCCAAGAAAAATGCCTCTTACCACTTTTCTCTTTTTGTTTTTGGACATGGGCCAGGCATAGCCCCATCCTTGAGGAGTCACCAGGCTTCTAAGGACACAGCTGCTGACCCCAACAATGTGCTCTGTGCTGGGCCAGGAATTGTGCCAGGGATTGTGGGAGCTCCAAAGTGGGGATAACATTGGGCACAGGCCTGAGGGATGCATAGGAGTCCTCAAGCAGACAGCATTCTGGACAGAGGTTGGTGGAATGCTCTGACAAGGGATGCTTTCCTGCCCTCCCTCTCTCTCCCTCAGTTTAGTACCATGACTACCTATCACTTCCTCATGTATATGGCTTCTTCTGATACTGTCTGTAGTGAAGGTCCAATTTAAAAAGTGGGCGGGAGAGCTAGAGGCGGGGCTTAGTGGTTAAGAGCACTGCTGCTCTTCCAGAGAACCTGGGTTCTATTCCCAGCAACCACATGGCAGCTCACAACTGTCTGTAACTCCTGTTGCAAGGAATCTGACACTCTCATATAGACATACCTGCAGGTGAAACACCAATGTGCATAAAATAAAAATAAATAAATTATTTTTTTTAAAAAAAGAGGCTCTCTGTTGGGCTTGAGAGATTGCTCAGCAGTTAAGAGCTCTTGGCTCCACCTTCAGAGGACCAGAGTTTAGTTCCCTACACTCAGGCTGAACAGCTTACTACCTGTAATTCTAGCTCTAGGGGATCTGACACCCTCTTCTGGCTGCTGAGTACACCTGTACTCATGTAAACACACACACACACACACACACACACACAATTAAAAACTAAAATAAGTCTTTACAAAAAAACTGAGGTTTAAAAAAGTCTGTCGATGCGAGATGTAATGTGTCACACCTTTAATCCCAGCACTTGGGAGGCAGAGGCAGGAGGATCTCTGAGTTGGAGGCCAGCCTGGGCTACAGAGTGAGACCTTGTCTTGAAAAACCAACACCAGAGTCTGTCAAGGACTAATACTTCGTGCAGTAGTCTAGAAATGGGCTTTGGATAAATGGAGCTGGAGTACAGTTCAGGGCTAGAGCACTTGCTTAGCACACATTGGTTCCTCCTCAGTGCAGAAAAGGGAAAGGGGAAAGGAGAGGAACAGTTAGAAGAGGAAGGGGCTGGGGGAGGGGCTTGATGGGTCAAGTGTTTGCTCTGCAAGCATGAGGACCTGAGTGGATCTCCAGCACCACACATAGGCCAGGCATGGAGGCACATGCTTGTAACCCAGTGCTGGTGGAGGCAGAGACAGAAGGATCCTGGGGCTTACTGACCAGTCAATCTAGCCAAAATGGTGACTTCCAGGTTCCCTGTCTCAGGAGATAAGATCGAGAGTGTTAGGAGACACCTAACATTGACCTATAGCCTCCACAGTGAGCTCCCCTGTATTGGGAGTGAGGAGAGAAATGAAGGAAAGAAAGGAGAGAAAGCAGGCAGGCATGCCGGACTTTAAGTCCAGTATCTTCTGCGAGTCACAAATAAAATTGCTCTGCCAAGTGGCCACAAAGCATCATAGAAAACTAAAGCCTCTTCTGTTCTCTACGGATTTTTGCCACAGCAGGCACCACAAGCAGTTTGCGCCCACGCCACTCACACAGCAGTAAAAGAAGTAGAACTCCATAACCCAGCTCACCCAGCTCTGAGCACAGGCCACACCTCTGCTCCACCAGTGTATGCTCCTTCTCCAGAGCTCAGTTCAAACAATAATCTACTGGGGCTGGAGAGATAGTGCCTCGCTTAAGAGCACGGGCTACTCTTGTAAAGGACCGGGGTTTTATTCCCAGTACCCACGTGGTAGCTCACAAACATCTATAACTCCAATTTCAGGGGATCCAATGGCCTCTTCTGGCCTCCACAGCACCTACGTGATATACAGACGTACATGCAGGCAAAACACCCATACACATAAAATAAAAATCTAAATAAGAAAAGGTAAAAAGGTCCATACTTTGAGTTGGATTATTAATTGAATCAAGCAGGCCTGTCAGCCAGTGACTCATGACCAAGAAGCCTGTTATAAAAGCGCTCCCCAGAGACACTGCAGCAAAGTACATAAAGCAGGGCCATGAGAGGAGACCTCCCAAGTAAAATTGTGGCCGCAAGCCAAAGGACAACTGCAGCCTGGCTCCTCAGGAGCCCACAGCCATCAGTCACACCTCAGGACTGCCTCTGGGGAGCATACTGACTGTGTCTTTGGAGTTCGCTACTTTGTCATTCAGGAGGGAGGTTTACACAGAGAGGACGTTCACTGGGTACAAGGTACAAGGCAGGGGAAGAGCTCCCATGTTCCATCATACATATGGGTGATTGTGGGTGATATCAGTGATAACTGTCTATTTTAAAGTATTTTACCAGAGAATGGTCCCATCACAAAGAAACTGGAGATATATGTATCACCCACATATATCCCCCACTTGTTAGAGATGTAACCCAATGGTGGAATATTTCCTAGTATGTAGAAGGCCTCCAGATCCATCCCCATCACTTCAAAAAGAAAACACAAATGTGCATATTTGTAAAAATGCATCAATAAAATCTTATCTGCTCCTTGTCCTGTGATTATGAGTTGGCTGCAGCCCAAGCCACTATGAGACTCTGGGAGTCTGGGCTTCTCTCCTGCAGTGGAGCTCCTTTTGTGTCCTCTGCCTGCTATGTTCATATCCTTGCTTAACCATCTGTTTCCCTACCTCACCCCCCACCTCCAGCTGCACTCTATGGTGGATCTCCTGGAGGGTACGCTATACAGCATGGATCTGATGAAAGTACATGCCTTCATCCACAAGGTAGCCTCCCAGATGAACACGCTGGAGGAGGTAAGAGCAGGGCAGGGCCTGGGGCCCAGGGCTGTATCCAAAGGGGCCTGAGATATTCTGTTTCACCCTGGTGGCCACGGGAAGCAGAACAGAACTCCAGCAGGGAGCTGGGAAGGGAGGTATAAGCTGCAGAGTCCTGCCTTTGGGAAGAGGTTTGGGGGTTTCCAGGACCCAAGGAAGCCAAAAGCCTGGATGAGGAAACTGAGGTACTATTTGGTAGCACGAAAGGAGTGTTGAGGAGGTGCTGCCAACATCAGGGTCCACACTGCACAGCTCTAGGGTACCATTCACAGAGAAGTACCATATCAGTGGTGCCTCAGGGTTGGTATAACGTAGCAGAACTGATCAGACCTCCCTGGGTGTCACAATCCCAGTACTACCTGTGTGGAAGCAAAGGTACTAGAGTACAGACTGGACAGGCTGTGTATTCTATGGGACTACCCTCTGGGTACAAGAACAGTTGAATAAGCCTGGAGGTCCAGGCTGAAGGTTCAAGGCTTGCCTCTCCCCTGGCATCGCCTGGCCTCCACCCATTTCCTGCATCCGGCCTCTGCTGAGCACTACGGGTCTAGGGACATGCCGCTGCCAGGAGCAGGCGTGGGGACTTCCTTTCCCAGCTTCCTTTCCAGAGGGAGGTGGTAACCGGGCATCCTGTGCCATGGGAGGGAAGACTGACCCCTGATTAAACCCCAAGCTGGGGGTCACAGTGACACGGATCATCTGAAACCTGTTGGATCATCTCCTCCTGGCTGATGCCAGGCCAGCTTGGGAAGCTGACATGAGAATTTTTCCTGGGCACAATGTTACCTACGCGTGCTCTCACACTGCTGTGTGGCCACCCTCCACTGACCTTTCCTCTTGTTATCTCTGGAAATGCAAACTGGTGCCTCATAGCTCTGAGTCTGCTGATTGTCTCTTTAACAAGTTTGGTTTGAGTGCTGGGATCACAAGCAAGCACTACCACTCCCAGCTTTGAAAAAGTAATATTAAATTAATGGACTATTGGAGACTTTCAGGGGCCACCCTTAGAGACAGGCTAACTAAATTATGGCCTAGGCGTACAGTGGCATACTATGCATCCATGAAAAGGAGTTGGGAATGCTTTGTAGACAGATACGGAACTATTCTCAAAATAAGCTGTTAAGTGAAAAATACAAGTGTTGAAAAACTATGTGTGTGTGTATTTGTCCCTATCATAAAAACATGTAACATTGTCATCACTGAGAAATAAACAAGAGTAAGAGGGACTTATTTATTTATCTCTATTTGTTTAGTTGAGAGGGTCTCACTATGTGTCCTTGGCTGTTCTGGAACTGCCTATGTAGACCAGGCTGGCCTCAAACTCACAGAGATCCACCTGCCTTTGCCTCCTTAGTACTGGGATTCAAGGTGTGTACCACCATACCTGGCCTACTTACATCTTTTTCATTTATTAATATAAACATATATTACCTATTTTTTATTCATTTGTTCATGAGAATAAAAATCATTAACTACAGGGCCTTATAGGACATACTTTCTTCCACCCTGTTTACCAGTCCCACTTGTATCTGTGCCTCTCAAGTCTCGATGGACAAGTTGGTGTGCCCCTCTAGGGTGGCAGCTCAGAAGCAGCAGGGCCAGGAATGACCATGCATCCTGCCCCACAGAGCATCAAGGCCAACCTGAGCCAGGAGAGTGAGATGGTGAAAGACAGCATACGTCACCTCAATGAGCAGCTGAAGAGCTATGAGAACCAGTCAGCCATCATGATGAGCATTAAGAAGGAACTGTCCAGCCTGGGCCTCCAATTGCTGCAGAGGGATGCTGCTGCCGTCCCTGCCGCTGCCCCTGCCTCAAGCCCTGACAGCAAAGCTCAGGTGAGACCTCTGCTCTGATTGCAGGGACAGAAGGTGACTGGGCTTGAGAACACAGGCTTGTATGTGTTTGGAGCCTTAGGAGAGAGCTAACAGAAAGCACAGCAGAAGAGTCCCTGGTGTGCAAGGCAAGAACTGGGGAGTGTCTATTTCCACTTTGTGGCTAGCACAGGTAAGCTAGGGCAGACTTGCCGATTCAGTCCAGGGGGATGGCTGGCCCCTAAACTTCGTATTTATTCTTATCCCCAGTTACCGAAGTACTGGAAATGAGGTTGTGGGAACCTCCCTCTGGCCCTCGAAGACCAAGCTAGCTTTCCTGCTTCTAGCCTCTCCTGCCATGGCTGGGCCCCTAGGTGGGTGCAGAGTAAATGGGCAGTACCTCAGGGACCCCTGAAGACTAATACCGTCTGATCCACAGCAGACAGCGTGTGTTTGCACAGACTTATCCCCTTGTTCCAGTAGATCCTTTTGTTCTAATTTGCCTTCTGAAGTATTACCGTGATAAAGACCATGACCAAAAGCAATGTGGGGAAGAAAGGGTTTATTTCATCTTACACACTCAGGTCATACTCCATCACTGAGGAAAGTCAGGGTGGGAACTCAAGGCAGGAACTGAAGCAGAGGCCATAAAGGAATACTGTTTACTGGCCTCCTCAGCCTGCTTTCTCATGTAGCCCAGGACCACTTGCATAGGATAGCATCATCCACAGTGGGCTGGGCCCATCAAATCCATCACTAATCAGGAAAATGCCTGCAGACTTGCCTACAAGCCAGTTTGGTGGAGGCATTTTCCCAGTTGAGGTTCTCTCTTCCCAGATCACCCTAGCTTGTGTCAAGCTGGCAAAAAAAGACAAAAAGAAAAAAAAAAAAGAAAAGAAAAAAGAAAAAGCCAGCACACCCCTGCAGGCAAAAAAATTGACCCCCTACTTTCCAGTTAAGTTAGGAAGTAAGTGTTCTTTCCCTGGGTGGCACTCAGAGTGTGGCACTTGGCCATGAGTGCAACAAGTAGCCACCCTTTTGGTGCCCCTCAGATCAGTCATCCATGGGCAGGACACAAGCCAGTAGCCTCATTTTCTGGTGATTTTTTAGGAGTCACCCTCTGAACTTGACTTCCTCACATACAATATTAGTTCATCCTACAACCTGTAAGTAGAATTGACCTCCTGCCTACTTGGCACATGAAGAAACATGGAGAGAGGTTACAGGGAGAGGGCGTGGCTGAGCCAGGGCTGCAGCCAGCCTACGTGACTGCCTAGCTCCGGCCCTTCCTCCTCAACTTGCAACCTCCTGTGCTGACAATGTGGTAGTGGGACTTGTTGACTGCAAGTGGGACCGCCTAGACACAATAAAGCCTGAGGAAGCCTGTGCCTTGGCCAGGAGCTGGCTGCCTGCTCGGTGAGATGCCAGTTGTGCAAGTGCAAGCGAGTCCCACTTTGGCTGCTGCTCAGAAGGCGTCAGATACTATACAAGCTTTATCTGCCTCTCTCTCATGGGTGGTGTCCCAGGCCCTGTGTTCTTGTGCCAAGCCAGCCTCAGAGCATTTGAGTAGGAAGTGAAAATAACAAAGCTCACAAAATGTTAGACACAGCATTCCTTAGGGCTAGCCAGACCAACACGGGACTGAAAGGCTTTTCAGGATGTTAGGATTTCAAGGCTAACATGGGAAGTGTTCTGGGTGCTCTGTAAAGGGACCCAAGAACCTCCCCCTTTCCCATACACTAAGACCAATGAGTGAGAGACAAGACTAGGAGGCCTGTTCAGGAGCCAAGCTGTCAGTCAAGCCAGGAGAACAAGCAAACAGGAGTTGGGAATGAGTATGTAACCCACCAGATTGGGTCTCAAGTCTGCAGAGGAACTAGAATGCTAAGGAGAGAAACAGAGGCAGACAAATTATGAATGTATCCACAACTTCACAAACACTGTGACCTCCTCCAGCTCCCACACTGAGCTTCTGTGACTCCCAGCCCATCAGTTTACTGTCACCCAAGTCTGAGACTTCCGCTCTTCTCAGGACACAGCTGGAGGGCAAGGCAAAGACCTCAACAAATATGGCAGCATGCAAAAGAGCTTCTCAGACAAGGGCCTTGCAAAACCTCCCAAGGAGAAGCTGCTGAAAGTGGAGAAGTTGAGGAAGGAGAGCATCAAGGGCAAAATACCCCACCCCTCATCCAGACCACGTGCCCTGGCCCAGCAGCAGGCAGTGATCCGAGGCTTCACCTACTACAAGGCGGGCAGGCAGGAGGCCAAACAAGAAGCACCCAAGGCCACGGCTGGTGAGTGGAAGGGAGTGGGGCCTATTTGAGGGATGACCAACTCCAGAGATCCACCTGCCTTCTCAGCAGCCACAAAGCCACAGATCTCAATACCATTGTTTACTTTTGTAGGGTCCTTTGCTCAATCACATACTGGGTAGAAGACCCCAGACAGGGTTGCTGATAAGGAAATAATAGAGGCAATACAAGGCGCCTCTCTTAGTACTTACAGTTGTCCTCATTTTTTCTGGACTTGGTTTTGTTCAAAGATTTGCTGCCGGTCAGCTGTGTACCAGATGACAGAGTGAGGTGGACACGGGTTCCCCCACAGAGCTTGCAGTTCTGTGGGAGGAACGGCACCCATGACAGTGAAGGTAGGAGAACATGGGGCTTCCAGGGAGTGAGATGGGCCCTTGGGAAACCCTCTCACTTCTGCACTGGCCTCTCCAGTTCTCTCATTTGTCATCTTCCCGAAGAAGAGCCACAGACCCTGCACTTTTCCTGCTAACTTGCTCCCTGGTGTCTCCACCTGGGTCACAGTAAAGGGCTTCGCACGAAGTAACTGGTTCTTCCGAAGTTCTCCCGAAGGCAGGGAGATGGAGCAGTTAGAGCCCAATATTCTTCAAGAATTCCCTCCCATCAGGTTCAGTGGTGAAATCCCAGGCACTCAGGAGGTTGAGGCAGAAGTTCAAGGTCAGCCTGAGCTACACAATAAGAGCCTGACTCACACAACAAAAAAGCATACCCCAGGCTTGGTAGCACTGGCCTGTAAATTGCAGCTAGTAAGTGCCAAGGCTAGAATATTGTTTGTTGCTGTTGTTTTAAAGATGTATTTATTTATTTAACGTACATTGGGCTTTGCCTGCATGTATGTCTGTGTGATGGTGTCAGATCCCCCGAAACTGGAGTTTTAGACAGTTTCAGACATGTGAGCTGCCATGTGGATCTTGGGAATTGAACCTCAGTCCTTTGGAAGAGGAGCCAGTGCTCTTAAGCTCTGAGCCATCTCTCCAGCCCCTAGAATATTATTTTAAGTTCAAGGTCTCCCTAGGACACAGAGTGATTTCAAGACTAAGCTAGGTGACTGAGACCCTGTCTCAGAGTGCAAAGAGGGCTGAGGATGTACTTAGTGTCGAGATAGTACAATGCTTATCTAGCACACCCAAGACCTTACTTACAAGGTTAAATTCCCACCTCAGGTACTGGCAAAATAGCTCAGTCAATAGAGTACTTGCCTCAGAAGCATGAGAACCTAAATTTGATACCCAAAAGCCACATTTTAAAAAATACTGAGTATGGTAGCACACACGTGTTTGTTTGTTTTTACTGTTGTTGTTTTGATTTGTTTTTTGGTTGTTGTTGTTAACTTATTTATTTTTATTTTATGTGCATTGGTATTTTCCTGCATGTATGTCTGTGTGAGGATGTCAGATCCTCTAGAACTGGAATTACAGAGGGCTGTGAGCTTCCATGTGGGTGCTGGGAATTGAACCTGGGTCCTCTGAAGAGCAACTAGTGTTCTTAACTGCTGAGCCATCTCTCCAGTCCTCCCCCACCCCACCCCACCCCACCCCGCCTTTTAAAATAATATTTTATTTTATTTTTTAGAGATTTATATATTTTATGTACATTGGTGTTTTGCCTGCATGCATGTCTGTGTGAGGATGCCAGAACCCCTGGAACTGAAGTTACAGACGGTTATAAATTCCACGTAGGTGCTGGGAATTGAATCTGGGTCCTCTGGAATAGTAGTCAGTGCTTTTTTCCAGGACGGCAGCACACGTTTATAATCCCAGCCCTGGGATTACAAGAACATCCCTCAGGCTCCCTGGCTAGCCAGTGAGCCTGACTAGCTGTCTCAAAGGAGATGGACAGTATTTCTGAGGATGATATCAGAAGTTGTCTGCTGGCTTCCACACACATGCGCACCTCATACGTTTATTAAAAGAGAGACAGAAACACTAGAAAAGAGAAGGTCCCTTCATTTCTGAGCCCTTCAGGGTTTCACCTCCTCCCCCAATCCCTGATGCCAGCTGCTGTCCTTGAATCCTGCCAGCTCAGCCTGGCACAACACAGGGCCTCTGACCCCTGGCTGGCCACTGCCCAGGCACTGCCCGGGCACAGCTTTGATATCTGGCTCTGCCAAGAAGGCTTGTGGGAACGGACCTCTCAGGTGCCGTTTTATTTATTTCTTAATTGCTTATAATTAAATAAGAATTAACCGTTTATGCTTTAAACTAGTATCTGGATAGCCAGATGACTGTATTAACTTGTATTCCTTAACATAGAGAACATATAAACTCAGACATTAAAAACCAAACATACATGTAGCCACATTTTCATTCATACCTACAGAGTAGACAGACCCTGACAGGCTGCCAAGGCCATGCTCCCTGTGGATATCCTGACCAAAGAGTCTTTGCTCCCACTGGGTCCCAGGTATGGGGACAGAGTGGCCTGCCTGACTGCAGCTAAGCCTGTGCCAGTGGTGGGGACCCAGAAGGTACAAACGCAGCTAGAGAGGTAAGTATCAGAGATAAACAAGGGGCAGAGATCTGTAGTCTAGAATTGGCAAGACACTGGCTGCATCCATCCCTTCCTAGCTTGAGGTGACAAACACTAGGTGAGGGAGGCTCAAGGCTATCAAGGTCCCCAGGAAGGTGACTGAGAGAAAATCTACAATCCTGAACAAGGAGTTTTGCCCTGGAACTAAGTTTAAGGCATGACAGAGTTGGAACAATGTACTTAACACTTAGGAGAAACAAAGAACCTCGTGTTTGCCTCCACATGTTTGCAGAGTCAGTAGAGATGCTTTATATACATATTCCTCTAATCAGCACTATGGTTATGGCACTCATTTTACAGAGATGGGGTGAGAGCTTGCTATTAAAAACTCACCCAGTAAAGGAGTGGCAGAGCTGGGCCCCAGGCCAGAGTGATCATCAGAAAGGCCTATCCTGTTCACTAGAAAGTCTACCTATCTCCTACCTGAGGCCTTTCAACTCCTCCATGATCAGAGAAGCCCCTGAGGAGGTCTGTGGCAGACCTGTGCATCAGTACTGCTGGGGCATGGGCACTGAGTCCTCTTTTCTCCGCAGACAACACTCTCAAGGGCACTTCCTGGCTGGAGAAACTACCACCGGAGATGGAGGCCAAGCTTCTGGAGAAACTACCACCGGAGATGGAGGCCAAGCTTCTGGAGAAACTACCACCCAAGATGGAGGCTAAGCTTCTGGAGCCGAACTCTGCCAAACATGATGAAGTCATGCTGCAGGCTTCAGAAGGAGCCAGCTTGGCCCCTGACATCTCCACTTTCACCCCAACTCCGATCAGCACTCCCTGGCCCACTGAGCCACCTTTGCATCCAGAAGGCCACAGCCCAGGTGAGTGAGTTTCCTAAGTGTCAGAAATCGCAGCTCATGACTAAATCCAACTCATGTCTTGTTTGGCTCCTGATCCAAGAATGTTCAGCTTTATCAAATTATTGATTTTTTTTGTTTGGTTTGTCGCTGTTTTGGGTTTTAGTTATTTTGAGGCAAGGTCTCACTGTAGCTCAGGCTATCCTGGAGCTCACACCCTTCTGCCTTAGCACCTTAGTGTTGGGATTATAGACACGTGCCACCATGCCTGACGTACTTTGAAATTTTTTATTTTTTTTAAAGGTGTGTGTGTGTGTGTGTGTGTGTTTGGAGAGAGAGAGAGAGAGAGAGAGAGAGAGAGAGAGAGAGAGAGAGAGAGAGAGAGAGAGATCCTTTCTATCACTTCTAGCTATTCTTTTTTTGAGTCAAGGTCTCTCCCTAAACCCGTGACTTGTTTTTTCTTGGCTAGGCTAAAAGCCAGAAAATTCCAACAAACTTGCTGTTTCTGGGCCCCTCAGAACTGGGGTTACAGGTGTGTATGGGATGCCCCGCTTGCTAGTATGTTGGGAGCAGACATAAATCTCAAAATTGCACATCAAGCATGCTTAGCTGCTGAGTCATCCCTCCAGCTGGGACTTTGCATTTTTAAAGAGTTATACGGAAAAAGAAAGACTATGAGATAGAAGTTTGTCCTCTCATAGTCTAACATAGTTAATCCAGGAGCCTTTACAGAAAGATTGCCAACATTTAAAGTGGCTAATAAACAGGTCTATTTGCAGTAAATTCTCTTTAAAATGTCACTGGAACCCTATCACTAGATCCAGCCATGGACTTTAGGTCCTCTCTTCAGTCTGTTTTGTTTGGGTTTCAAGGTGTTAGGACTAAACCCTTGGCCTCCAGCTGCCACCCTGAGCTACATGAGCTACATACACCCCCTGCACTCTACACCCCCTGCACTCTACACCCCTGCACTCTACATCCCTGCACTCTACACCCCCTGCACTCTACCTCCCCTGCACTCTACACCCCCTGCACTCTACACCCCTGCGCTCTACACCCCCTGTGCTCTACACCCCCTGCGCTCTACCTCCCCTGCACTCTACACCCCCTGCGCTCTACACCCCTGCGCTCTACACCCCCTGCACTCTACCTCCCCTGCACTCTACACCCCCTGCACTCTACACCCCTGCGCTCTACACCCCCTGTGCTCTACACCCCCTGCGCTCTACCTCCCCTGCACTCTACACCCCCTGCACTCTACACCCCCTGCACGCTACACCCCTGCACGCTACACCCCTGCACTCTACACCCCTGCGCTCTACACCCCTGCGCTCTACACCCCCTGCACTCTACACCCCCTGCACTCTACACCCCTGCACTCTACACCCCTGCACTCTACACCCCTGCACTCTACACCCCCTGCACTCTACACCCCTGCACTCTACATCCCTGCACTCTACAACCCCTGCACTCTTGGGCTGTTTTTTGTTTGTTGGTTTGTTTCTTCGTTTTGTTGTTGTTGTTGTTTGGTTTCTGGGTTTTGTGTGTTTTTTGTTTGTTGGTTGGTTTGGTTTTTGTTTTTTTGGAGACAGGATTTCTCTGTGTAGCCCTTGCTGTCCTGGAACTAGCTCTGTAGACCTGGCTGGCCTGGGAACTCCCAGAAATCCTTCTGCCTCTGCCTCCTGAGTGCTAGGATTAAAGGCGTGTGCTACCACACCTGGCTCTTTGTTTTTATATCCACATTTATAGCTGTAATTTGTGTCACACAGTAAACGTTGTCCTCAGTAAATTGTGAATCTGTCCTTCTGAAGGACTCTTGACTGTCTGTGATTGCAAGCCATCAGACCCTTCCTCACTCTGGCCCAAGTGCTAGCTCTTCACACTTGTTTTTCCAGAAGGATCAACAAGCAATGTAGACAACAGCTGCAACTAATATGGTTTTCTCACACCACAGTTCCTGGGGCCAGAACACTGGAAATAACCTACAGAGCTGACACTTGGGAGTGGAGGAGTGAATAATTTAAAGGGCACAGCTGTCTGGTGGCCTGGCAGGGGACCTAGAAATCACATCATTAAAAGACTATTTAATAATGTGAGAAATCGGTCCATGGAAGGAGAAAACAGGATACAAAAAGCCTGTATTTAGAAGGATCACAGTTTTTAAAAGTCTGTGTGACTGCATGCAAGGAAAGGAGAAAGGGAAGGGAGCACCACATATTCAAAAGTTTCTTTGTATACTAGAATTCATCTTTCAACTGTCTTCCCTCCCTCCTTCCCCTCCCTTCCCCCTCTCTCTTTTGAGACAGGGTTTCTCTGTGTAGCAGGATTGGCTGTCCTAGAACTCTCTCTGTAGACCAGGCTGGCCTCGAACTCAACAGAGATCCACCTACCTCTGCTTCCCGAGTGCTGGGATTAAAGGCATGTGCCACCACATGCTTCTTTCCTTCCTTTTTGAGACAGGGCCTTGCTATGTAGCTTGACTGGCCTGGCACTATAATATAGCCCAGGCTGATCTCAGATTCACAGCAATGGTTTTCTTCCTACCTCAGCCTCCACAATTTGAGGGTTACAGGCATTCATAACACCCAGCTTCAATTTTCAAGTATTAGGAGACACCCTGAACTCATTCTTCTATCAAACCCAACCCCACTATTACCCACCATTCTGTTGTTCTCTGCTTCTCTGAGATGGCCCTCTTTTTTGTGTTTTATTTTCATATACAGTGGATGGTGGATTTTTGAATGGTATGCATCTCCTCTGTTCCCCTTTCTGACTGTTCCTGCTTTTTCCAGTGATCAGGCATTGCTTTGCTCATAGGCCAAACAAAACCTTCAAGAGAGTTAAAGTGGACTTGGATAAACCAGGCATGGTGGTGCATGCATTTAATCCCAGCATTCTGGTGACAGGAGCAGGCAGATCTCTGAGTTCGAGGTTGGCCTGGTCTCTGTAGAGACCAGTTCTAGGACAGCCAGGGCTATACAGAGAAACACTGTCTCAAAAACAAAGCAAAAGAAAAGATGAACTTGGTTCACCTTCCTAGACCCACTGCCTGGCTTGGAGCTAGTGGCTCACTCTGTGTATGAAATACTGTGTCCTTTGCTCCTTGCAGGTAGGGAAGGCAGCTGTGAGGGCACCCTCCGAGCTGTGGACCCCCCTGTGAAGCACCACAGTTACGGGCGCCATGAAGGGGCCTGGATGAAGGACCCTGCAGCTCTTGATGACAGAATCTATGTCACCAACTACTACTATGGAAACAATCTGGTGGAGTTTCGAAACCTGGAAAATTTCAAACAAGGTCAGGGAAGCTGGGTAGGAGAGGGAAAAGTGGGAGTGTGGTTGACCTGGGGTGGGGGCTCCCATAAGACTCAGCCTTCCTGTGCCTGTTATTTCCAATGTCCAGCCTGTCTTAGCTCCAAGTAGCCCACCTGCCCTAAGGAAGGGTGTCTGGGGTTTAGAAAATCCTGTTACCCACTGCTGGGAACTGAATACAGAGCAAAGGAGATAGATATGGTCCTACCTCATGACCACATAAGTGTGACCTGCTATCACAAGCTTCTAGTTGCTAAGTGTTCTGTGCCATTGCCTATGTGTGTCTGGCTTAGTTTGGGTTTCTGTTGTTGCAATGAAACACCATGACTAAAAGCAAGTTGGGAAGAAAGGGTTTATGAGGTGGCTCACACTTTCTTTTTTTTCTTTTTCTTTTTCTTTTTTTTTTTTGTTTTTTTTGTTTTTTTGTTTTTTTTCCAGACAGGGTTTCTCTGTGTAGCTTTGGTGCCTTTGAGTGGATCTTGCTCTGTAGACCAGGCTGCCCTTAAACTCACAGAGATCCGCCTGCCACTGCCTCCCGAGAGCTGGGATTAAAGGCGTGCGCCACCACCGCCTAGCGGCTCACACTTTCATATCACTGTTCATCTTCAAAGAAAGTCAGGACACTTTTAAACAGGAGGCAGAGGCCAGCCTCTGTGATTTGTATCTACGTAGTGAGTTCCAGGACAGCCAGAGTTGCATAGAGAGACAAACAAAAACTGTCCAGCTCAGTGTCCACTCACATTTTGTGAATCTTCCTAAGTCCATGAGATTTTTGCCTGCCCTCCAAGAAAGCAGGCCTCAGGCCTTAGAAGAGTTGCAACTCTGGGCAATGCCCATAGTGGGGCTGTCAGCACAAGGAAGACAAGTTTTGGTTATCAGATCTGGGACAGGATGAGGGAAAAGGTCATTAAAACCATCTCACCAGCCGGGTGCACGCCTTTGATCCCAGCACTCGGGAGGCAGAGCCAGGCGGATCTCTGTGAGTTCGAGGCCAGCCTGGGCTACAGAGTGTGTAGTAAAGCTACACAGAGAAACGCTGTCTCGAAAAACAACAACAACAACAAAAAAAACCATCTCACCTTCCAAAAATCCATACTCTGTAGGAGGCAAAGGCTTAAGGGGGCAATCTTCATACAGCTTAGAACAGTCTAGTTTAGTACTCTGTAGGAAAGAGCGTGGAGAGGCTTTCCCAGGGGCCTTCGGGTGCTGGACTGAGCCCTGGAGGATCAGGAGGAAAATAGTAGAGAGCAGGAAAAGTGTTCCAGACAGAAGGCTCAGCGTGTGAAGAGGTCGGCCAGAAGCAGCATGGTGTCATGGAGTAGGGTAGTGAGAATAGGCTGGGGTGTACCCTGTCAGTCCCATGGAGGAGTGTGGACATTTACTGAGAACCATGGGAATCATAGAGAATGTCCTGGAATAGCTAACATCTTTTCTAAGCTCAAAATTGGCTTGGTCTGTGTCTGGAGCAGCTCACAGGCTGGTGGTTGTGGAAGTACCAAGACAAAGGGTTAGGGGAGGCCCTTCACTATAACCTATGGAGGTCACATTGGCTAGGGACACTAAGAGACAGGCAGGCATTCCCTATGCAGATTGGATGGGGAATAGCAAACCTCACTCAAGGAACATCATATGCAAAGTCTCCGAGACAAAGCACAGGGTTGGCATCACCTTACACCTCAATCCTAGCTACCAGTGTCACAACTGGTGACCTGTAGCCCAGGACTCATAGACTCATGGACACATGGATAATGTCAGTACCTCCTTCATGGCACTATTGTATGAATGAGATGATGGGCTTAGGTCCAACCACATGGTTAAGTTTTAGTGCCAAGTATTTGTTGAGCACTGGTGAGCCCTTGATGGTCTCTGTGGTGAATGTGTGATGTTCTAGTTAGCTTTCTGTTGCTGTGATAAACACCATGACCCCAAGCAGCTTGAGAGTTTACTCATACTTTCAGGTAACAGACAATCATTGAGGGAAATCAGGGCCAAGAAATCAAGGCAGGAACCCCAGAAGAACCCTGATGGCTCTCTGGATCATACTCAGATAGTTTTCTTATTTGGTTAGTTGGTTGGTTGGTTGGGTTTTGGGTTTTTGTTTGTTTGTTTGTTTGTTTTAAGACAGAGTTTCTCTGTGTAGCCTTGGCTGTCCTGGAACTCACAGAGATCCGCCTGCCTCTTCCTCCCAAGTGTTGGGATTAAAGGCATGCATCACCCCATAATTGTTTGTTTTTTGTTTGTTGTTTGTTTGTTTTGTTTTGTTTTGAAACAGGGTCTCACTAAAAAGTTCTGGCTATCCTTGTAACTCACTCTGTAGACCAAGCTGGCCTCAAATCTACAGAGATCCACCTGCCTCTGCCTCCCAAGTGGATTAAACACATGCACCTCTACATTCAGTCCAGCTAGCTTTCTTATACAGCCCTGGCCATTTGCCTAGGCATGGTACCACCCACAGTGGGCTGTGCCCTCCCACATCCATCATCAAGCAAGATAATCTTTCACAAATATGGCCACAGGCCAATCTGATCTGGGCAGTTCCTCCAGGGTTGTATCAAACTAAGCAGCACAAGTGGACTGGGGCTGCCCAGGGTACTCTGGTATGACCCTCCACTTTCCACATGCAGGTCGATGGAGTAATATGTACAAGCTACCCTACAACTGGATAGGCACAGGCCATGTGGTGTACCAGGGTGCCTTCTACTACAACCGTGCCTTCACCAAGAACATCATCAAATATGACCTGCACCAGCGCTTTGTGGCCTCCTGGGCACTACTGCCTGATGTGGTCTACGAAGACACCACACCCTGGAAGTGGCGTGGCCACTCGGACATTGATTTTGCTGTAGATGAGAGTGGTCTGTGGGTCATCTACCCAGCTGTGGATGAGCAAGATGAAGCCCAGCCTGAGGTGATTGTGTTGAGCCGCCTGGACCCCAGAGACCTCTCTGTGCACCAAGAGACCACGTGGAAGACACGACTGAGGAGGAACTCCTATGGGAACTGCTTCCTGGTGTGTGGCATCCTGTATGCTGTGGATACTTACAACCAGCACGAAAGCCAGGTGGCCTATGCCTTCGACACCCACACAGGCACTGATGCTCACCTACAGTTGCCCTTCCTCAATGAGTATTCCTACACTACTCAGGTTGACTACAACCCCAAGGAGCGGGTGCTCTATGCCTGGGACAATGGCCACCAGCTCACCTACACCCTCCACTTTGTGGTCTGAATGGGGACCTATGTTCACAGGGGAGGGCAAGCAGAGGAGTAGGGGCTGCTCCTAGCCACTCCTGCAACTGATATCAGTATCAACTGAGGGTGTCCTGGGCTAGGTATTGGCTTTGATGGCAGCCAAGGCAGTACTTCCTTAGCACCCAGCAGGTGACACTAGCTTCCATTGCAGAATGTTGTGCTGAGGGCTTTTCCTGCATTTACCCTTTTGACTCTTTCCCCTGCTTCCCTTGGAGGCAGAGATCCTTAAGTCCATTGAGCAGAGGAGGTGACTGAAGCCCAAAGGGGCAGCATCCCAGTTGTAGTAGGGCAGGCTGTGTTCTCACAATAGCCACACTTTATGGATGAGATGACCTCACCTAGTTCTTCCCATCTCCAGGACCCTTCCCAGGACTCTGCAAAGCCTGAGGTCTTTGGGAACCTATGCACTGAAGTTCTGCAGCTCCAGGTCGCTCTTCTGGTTGAATGCCCATGACTTTGAGCTTAGAGCCTCTTGACCTGTGGTCAGCCCCTGTGCTCTCCTCCCTACTCTCTGACCACATTCCAGAAGTTCACCATCACAGCCACAGAGCAAGAGCCACACCCTGAAGTAAGCACTGGCTGGGTCCATGGCCCTCCCTCTGTGGCTACTTCTTGTCTTCCTGTTCCTTGCACATTTCTCACCAGATGAGAAGGTATAGGCAGCTCAGCTGCGGCAGAATGGGGTGCTGGCCTGAGCTCCCCCCATCTCAACTCCTGTACCACCCACTAGGCCTTGGCTCCTTCCCTATCCCTTCCCTTGAGCCTGGAGTCCTTTATGGGCCTTCAAAGCTAGTCTGCTCACACTCAGGGATTGCTAGGAGTAAGGCCTTTGTCCCTGGAGAGGGTGGCCCCAAGATGGAACAGGCTCCCTCTTCCTTGTTGATCCTGATCTGGTCATTTGGTGGGCTGGTCCAGCAGCCTGGGAATCTGGGGGAGACAGGACAGAGGGGTTCAAAAGAGACCTTGGGCCTTCTCAGGTTGCAGGACAAAGCCAGGAGGTGGTCTTAGCACCAGGATTTTCTTTGAGATAGGACTTGCGATTGTGGACATACTAGTGAACATGTATAAGCTACCCTACAGTGGGACTGGCAGCTGTCCTGGTGCTGCTTGTGGCTCACAGCACCTACAGACACAGACAGCTCTGAGAACACGACCTTTCAAGCCAGCCTATGGCTGCTTTGGACATTCTTTTTAAAGCTGTAGAGAAGTTCTTTTGCCCATCTCCTCTTTTTAACCAAAGAAAATATAGGTCCCAACAGTTCTAGAATATGGAGTGGAGTCATATAGGGCAGGACATAGCTGATCTCATTTGGAAAAGCCCTATACCCTCCCACCTCAGAGACAGCTCTGCCTGCAAAGATAACAGACCCCAACAGCACCTTTGAAGGTGTCTACCACTGGACCCTGGACCCTTCCTTACACACTGTGCCTGCTCCTAGGCAATCTGCAGTGGATACCAGCTGCCCCATTATGAAATCCCACTGTGCAGCATTAGGTAGGGAGATTCAGGTTCTGTGCAGACTTCATTTCTTCCAGACATTGTTGGGTGATGTTTTGCTTAAGGAATAACTCACCCTTGAAATAAAAAGGGACAGTGACACCCAGCCCAGCCAAGTCTGACTCATAGTGGTAGCCACATCCAGCTCCCCCACCCAGCTGACCACCACAGGCTCCCCTTCCAGCCTCTTCAGAGGACTTGGAACCCCCTTGTGCCTGTGTACACCCTGACCTTTCCCTTGGCCCTGGATGTGGGTTTTTTTTCTCATGACTGTGTTTTGTGATGTCATAGCCCAACCATGTGAGAGGTGCTCAGGCAGCTTGCAGCAGTCTGAGGAAAGAGAACACTAGATCACACTGGCTTGAAGAGTAAACATGTGGCATAGTTTCCAGGGGTGGGACACAGGGCCTGCCATAGAGCCCAGTCATTCTGCAGGTCCCTTCTGTTTTCAAATCTTTGTGTGTTCTGTGGTAAATACAGTTCATTTCCTCATCTATAGATAGTCACACTGGATCCCAGGTGAGTCGCTTGTCACATAGGCTGGTAATGGAAGAGCCAGGTTTCCACATCAGGTAACCTGTCACTGTTATCTGAGAACCATCAGTGTGCTGGACATACTGTGGAAAGAAATGGGCCCATGGACAGGTGAACACGATTACGTGGAAGAATTTACCTAAGGTCACACAGCAGTGTCGTTTGGCAGAGCTGGGGGTTCGAGGCTGCTCAGAGCATGCTGTCTGTCATCCTTATGCCATGTTGGTAGCAAGCTCCAGAAGTGCTGGCAGTTGCAGTCAGTCAAGATGGCCATGGGAAAAGCCCCCCAAAAGTCCAGCTTGTGCAGAGCTTTGAATGGCAAGCCAAGGCATGGACACATCTAGCCATGTCTAGAACAAAACAGTATAGACTAACAGAGCCCAGCCAATCCTGACATGGATTCTAATTGGATTTTATCCTTTGGTGATGAAAAGCAGGGAAGGAGTTTTGCTGAAGAGCCTTAATCTGCCAGTTTGTGAGCTCTAAAGAAAATCTGCTCCCACTACCACACACACACGCGCGCACACACACACACACACACACACACACACACACACACACACACCACTCATACTCACATACACACCCATGTGCGCACTCACAATACCTTGGTGTGTTATGCTGGGCAACAGGTACTTCATAGGCGGGACCTGGACTGTGTAGAACCGCCCACTCACCTTTTGTGAAGGCAAACCGTCGCCATAGGTGAAGGAGCTTTGGCTTCCATCATGGATTCCTCTCCAGAGATTGCCAAGTGTTGGGGGTGCTAGGCAAGTGCTGGATCACTGAGTCACTCCATCCTCTTGGTCTTTGACTCTTAGCTGCACTCCAGAGGAGAAAGAAGGGGAGCTCCACCCTGGGGCCGCACAGGAGGAGGGACGACTGGGGGCTCCTGCAGAGAACTTTATTCTCCCTTCTGCATCAGAGAAGTCTTGCGGTGCTGCGCACTGTGTGGCGGTCGGAGAGCCCAGGTGCAGGAGGTGGGAGCCTGCCTCTCCCATGCTGCCCTTCCCTCAGGCTGGGTGGGGTATGAAGTCCCTGAGACAACTGGGACCAAGGATTAGCAGGGGCCGGGGACTTCAGGAGAGCTCCCAGCACCTTCCAGAATCGGAAACCACCTCGACTTGCAGTCTCACTCACTCACCCAGCCTGGAGCTCCTAGGTTTCTCTCGTTTCAGGTTATGAACCTCAAGTTCAGAGAAGCTGAGCAATGTGCTCAGGCCCAGGTATCTAGATCTGAGCTAGGTCTCTTTCAACCAAAGCCCCCAACTAACTGTTGTAAGTGGTCATGTTTTTGTCTTGGTTTGGGCCCATAGAAAGCTCAAAGACAAGTTTGAGATCATTTTAAACACTTTTATGGAATTTAACCAGCTTCATTCTAGCCTTTTATATGTACCTTTACCCTGATTTACTTTTATTCTACTGTATTTAATCTATTTTATTAAGGTGCCACAAGATCTTTTTGTAACAGTGTGGAATATACATAAATAAAACCCATGACTACAGCTGAATGTGGTGGCACATGCCTTTGATCCTTGCGCTTGGGAAGAGGTAAGCATATTTCTGAGTTCAAGGCCACCATGGTCTACAAAGCAAGCTCCAGGACAGCCAGAGTTATTCAGAGAAACCCTATCTTGGAAAAAAAAAGACTGAAAACTTGATTTTAAAATAGTGATACTGTGAACTACAACTAGGGGAGTAGCTCCCTGGCACCCTGGCACCCTGTTGCTTACAGCATGTATGAAGGCCTGGGCCTGATGCCCAGCATCACACAGGAAGGAAGCAAGCAAGCAAGCAAACATTTCTGGGTCTGTATCCTTGTCATATCATACATATTTAATAATTTTTTGACCCAGGCTGGCTGTTGGTTTTAAATAATAAGTGGCACTGTTACCGTGCAAGGAACGGTCATGAGGCAGGACAAAACCCAGTATCAGAGATTTATTAGGAGGAGTAGGGGGACAGAAGAGAGTATCCAGGCCTGGGAAGAGGCACATACAGAGAGAGAGAGTAGTGGGTGGGGAGGAGTCTATGTCTGGCTTTTAAGGATTCCCCTACACATGCGCTGTGTGCATTTGTGCAATCATGCAGTGCACAGATGACATAAGACCTCTTGCTTAGCTACTGAACTGCACATGTGCAGTCATGCAACTGGAGGAGTGGCCAGAATCCTAACATTCCAAAATTTTTGCTTATTATTAAAAAAGGTGGGTGAACAGGAATAGGGGCATTGTTTCTCCTGAAAAACTGCTTCCAGCTGACTCAGGTGTTGGTTAACTCTTGGGGTGTAGGGAAGGGGACTTCTGAGGTAGACAGGTGTCCTGGGATGGTGGGCTGTCGTCTGCTACCTCAGAGCTGTTCATCTTTACTTTCTTGGCTTGGGACTCTGGCTGCTTGAATCTAGGAGAGTGCTGTTAAGATAGAGAAAAGCTTAGAAAAAATAATTATTATTTTTATTTTTTCCTTTTGGGGGGGATTTCCAGGGGGAGAGAGGGGGTCCTGAGACCAGGAAAGTTTGGGTTTGTCACTTACCTGAAGTAGATCTGACCTGTCCAGATGGATTTAAGCTTGTTTCTGGAGCTTAGAAAAAAAATTTAAACATTAAGAAGCAGCCATGAGAAAATTAAGGTCTTTGGCTGGTGACCATGACAACATGACATTGTCGTGTTTAGTACTCTGCTTATATTGGTTAGTATTAGAGAGAGAGAGAGACAGAGAGAGAGAGAGAGAGAGAGAGAGAGAGACAGAGAGAGAGAGACAGAGAGAGAGAGACAGAGAGAGAGAGACAGAGAGAGAGAGAGACCTGAGATAAGCTTTATCAGAGACAGATTATTTTAAGGCACCTGTTTCCTTTATTAGTTTAGCGTACAGGAGACACTGGTGATCAACTGTTGAGAGCATTTAACAGTAATAGATTGTTATATTAAAGTCTGTTTTTGCAGAGCCCAGACACTTTTTGGTCTGGGGGTGTAAATACCTTTGGACTGTTACTGTTCCTTACCACCTGGGTATATCTGATGGTCCTTGGACTCCAGCTCTATGGTGAGCCTGTAACAACTGGCTGAGTAGTTCATTAAAAGAGGGAACCAGGAAGGGAAAACTTGTGGGGTGAGTCCTCATTCTTCTGGAATTGGTGACAAAGCAGTGGATCCTGGTGTCCTCAGGAACTTGAGAGAGAGCAGGGCCCTGTCTGTGTCACTGTGCATGAGAAGCACTGCTGACCTGTCTGGAGTGAGGCACATGGAGGGAGCAAATGAAACGAAAGCTCCTACCTTAGCTGGAAACTCTCTTCCCATTAGGTACCCCTGAAAGGACAATTAAATCTGGTGAGGTGGGTAAGGCTGTCCGCCTTCCCCAACAATAGGGAAACAAGGAGAGGTGGGACCCCAAAACTCCCTCAGGACTGAGTAAGTGGCTCGGTGTCCAACAGGAAGGAAACGGATCACCCCATGCTGCATCCTGAGTTCCCTGTGAGCCCGTGGCCAAGCCTAGGAGTTCTGCTGGAGGTCTTTAAAGTCCCCATGCCACAGGGTGCATGAGGGCAGTCAGCTGACCAGTTATCCCTCTCGGTGACACTTTGAACAAGTCTCAGTTGATGGCCCAAGGAGGGACAGGGCACGCACTAGCCTGCATGGCCTTCTCTAGCACACATTTGAAACAGGGACCTGGAAGCCCTTATGCAGTAGCCACTTGGATAGTGTGTGCCAGCATTTGGCAATTTTGTTCACGGGCTTTCTCATCTCTCCCATGGTACCTTAAATGCCACAGCTGAAACTTCCACCTGTGGGGTCAGAAGCCTTTCTCTCCAGATGCTTAAGTTCAGCCCTGATGTTAGGAAGCTCTGGGAGACAAGAGACAGATTTTATTCCATATCTTGAATTACTTTTTTTAATTTTTTTATAGTTTGCTGGTGTAAGGACAGCTTTAGGAAGACCTGCCAGGAGGCAGGTTGTAAACTGATCTCTGGCTAGAGAGCCATCTAGATTATTATGATCCCAATGTGGGTCCTGGTTGTAAACTTATTTGCATGTGTCCTAGCCTGCTTCCAGACCTGTCCATGCTTAGCGGCCCACCCGGTACCGGAGAACAGAGCGGAGGTCAGATAGGCAGAGGTTCTTTGGAGTCAGAGATTCCTCAGGTTCAGGTTGCACATGGGCAGGAGAGAAAGACTCAGAAAGGGAGGGTTCAGAGTTTAGGTAAAAGCGTGGGGATAAGGTAACTCTTTTCATTTGCCCATTCGCTGGCAGAAGCTAGATAATTCCCGTGAAATATGGGGGTTTAAGCAGCCGTTACGCAGCCAAATTTACTGGTATCCGAGGATATTTAATGCATTTCTCAGAGGAGGAATGGGACCAAGAGGAAGAAACCTCTCTGTCCCATGACTGCAGCTGAGAGAAAAAAAATTAAAATAAGCCGGGCGGTGGTGTCACACGCCTTGGGAGGCAGAGCCAAGCGGATCTCTGTGAGTTCTAGGCCAGCCTGGTCTATATAGTGAGATCCAGGACAGGCACCAAAACTACACAGAGAAACCCTGTCTCAAAAAAACAAAATCAACAACAAAAAAAATTAAAATATCAAACGAGATCCAAGACTCCCATCCCAGGCATCCCTGAGGGTAGGTAATCTGTGGACCAGCATAAATAACAGCACCAGTTACCCCATCATGGGAGAGGCAAGGGCTGGGGCCATACATACCAGAAGAATCCCTGGGAATCCAGACAGCATTCAATACTTCATTTAATACTTCGTCAAGAGAGAATGTGGTTCGAAGCCCAAGGACTCCAAAGGGGTCCAGTGCAAGAAATATATCTCAGGCTACAGTGGTGGGAAATGGTGAGGGGTCAGAAAGGGAAAACTCATCAATCTGGTTAGCTGGTGTGTTGTGCGGAGCAGTTCCAGCAGCTGGGCAAATGAAATAAAACAGAGCGGGCAGTCATAGGTCCAATAAACCTCAGTACAGGGTCCTGGATGCCGAGTGCTGGGAGAGCCTGTTTTGTCACAGCATCAGTGTTGGTTTTAAAAAATAAGCAGTGCTGTTACTGTTTAAGGAAAGGCCATGAGGCAGGATAAAACCCAGTATCAGAGCTTTATTAGGAGGAGGTGGGGTGGACAGAAGAGAGTGTCCAGGCCTGGGAAGAGGAACATGCAGAGAGAGCAGAAGAGAGAGAGGAGTCTGTGTCCAGCTTTTAAGGATTCCCCTGCACATGTGCAAGTGGGCTACGGAGCTATACCATGCATGTGCAGATTGCGTGACCACACTGCTTGCATTTGCACAATCATGCAGCGCACATATGATGTAAGACCCCTTACTTAGCTACTGAACTGCGCATGTGCGGTCATGCAGCTGGAGAAGTGACCGGAATCCTAACACTGGCCTCAAACTTGGTATGATTCAAAAGATGGTCTTAATTCCTGATTCTCCTTCCTTGCCTCTTGAGTGGATTGCAGGCTTGAGCTATCATGTCCTGCAGTTTATTTGTACTTGTTAGGTTTATGTTGGTGGGCTAAAAACACGATCAGAAACATGTAAAGTGTTATTTATTAAGCGGTGCTGTTTACCGTACAAGAGAAGTTACAAGGCACAACGAAACCCACTATAAGAGATAAGAGTTTATTAAGTGAAAGGAATAGAAAGAGTGTGCATATGCCTATGGAATGATGGTGCAGGGGGAGGGAGAGAGAGAGAGAGAGAGAGAGAGAGAGAGAGAGAGAGAGAGAGAGTGAGAGAGAGAGAAAATAGGTGGAACCCGCTTTTTATAAGTGGTTTTATGTAGCTATGCCACGCATGCACATATGTGCATAGATTGCGTGATTAAGCAGCACATGGATTACCTAGGACGTAAGGCCCTGGAATGACTAAGCATCTTCCCTGGCTACTGGACAGTGCATGTGTGGTCATGTAGCTGGGGGAGTGGCTAGGAATTCTAACTTGGAGGAAAGGGTTTATTTCCTGGGCATGTCCAGGTAACAGTTTGTCACTGAGGGAAGTCAGGAAAAGACTCAAGGAAAGAACCTGGAGGCAAGAATTGAAGCAGGAACTGTGGAGGAATGGTGCTAACTGGCTTGCTCAGCTTCTTTCTTATACAGCCCAGGGGTGGCTCTGTCCACAGTGGCCTTGACCCTCCCTCATCAATCATTAATCATTAAAATGCCCCCACAGACATGCCCACAGGTCTGATGGAGGTAATTCTTCAACTGTGGTTCCCTCCTCCCAATCTGACAAAAACTAACCGGCACAATATTTAATAGCTTAAAAAACAACAACAACAAAAAAAACATTTAGAGCTAGGCACGATGGTGCATGCAATGCATTCAGGAGGATGAGGAAGGAGTATCTTGTTGTGAGGCCAAGAAAGATCCTATCTAAGGGGGTGGGAGGAGAAGCAAACTTATTTCAAAACAGCAACAAAAAAAAGTTTAGTCTGAGGACTGGCATTGCTCTCACTGGGAACCAACCAGTATACTGTGCTATGTAGAATATGACAGGGTAAAAACTCTGGTTTTTGCCATT